GCTTCCTTAATTAACTGGAAGAGTTCACTGCAGTAGCTGTGGGAAACCTTAGCCATGACACCCAAAGCTAACTGACTGTCTTATCTCTCATATAATGAGAGTGACTGATGGAGCCAAGGGAAAACACACATCCGTTATCCTGTGTCACACACACTACAGTCCATGATGTATGCAGAGAGATTTGCATTTGCACTCAAGACAAACAAAATAATTTTACAGTGTGTCCACATCAGTAGCCTACAGTCAAAGACCCATGTGGATGTGAGGTTTTCAATATGGGGTGATGAGGAAAATGGCCCTGAGAATCTGCATGTATCCGGGAGAAAAAAAGAGAAAGTGACTGTGGGACCAGAAAAGGCACAGGATGCAAATATGGGGGAGCAAGAGTCTAGGGAGCGATAAAACTGTGACATGATGTCAAAGGGGAGAAAAATGCTTTTGCTCCAAGTACTGTGAACCCAGTGGTGGCTCAGAAAGAGGAGGAATGTCCTGTTACTATGGCAATGGCACTGGCCAATCTGAAGCTATGTATAGATAAATATGTCAGAAATAATTAGGATAGAGGCATCTTCATCCGTTCTCACATGTTAATGTCCATTGGGAGCATCTGGCAATGACTAAGGCCTAAGAGTCTTTGCATCAAGCAAGGGGTGTGCTTGGGAATATGGATCATGACATTCTAAATGCACAGTCTCTATGTAATTATTCTACTCGGCAGTTCCACGTTGCCATCCAAGGACTCAGTTGTGTCATTCAGAAACCCACATTTGGGCAACACACAGAACATAAAATACACTGGCACATTTCACACAGTGTTTGTAAAGACCCCTGGACATAGTGTTCTCTGAATGAGTCAGTCAAACCAAGAGGACCCCGTAGACCTGCTGTCCTCAAACTATCCTCAGTTGGCAGCTATTCCCAGGGGGAAAACATGTTTTCATGTAATGTCAGACTAGGAAATTATAGAAAACAGACCTTTAAATACTTTTAACAGCTACAACTAGCCATAACAATCTTCCCATTGTATTTGTTTTATATTCTTGTAAAATAGTTAAGGGGGCACCAGTAAATTCCTGTAGAATCTTCACACGTGTGAACTGTGAGCCTCACGGCTATCCAAGAGAAACAGAAATGTCTCCCCTGTGAGTATAGACCCAGATGGATGGAAGTACTTGGGAATGTTTAAGCAATCTTGAGATTTCCCAACAACAAAAAGAACATAAATCATTGGGGTTTTCCTGGCTTTACAAAACTGTAATGCATTGCATACCAGGGAACAAATCCACTAGCGATCAAAACACAGTTTTACTAATGAGCTCCCAATATTAATAAGTACCCTCAAAGTAATTGATACATTAGCAGCTCAAGGAAATGCTAACATGATTCCCATTGGCCATTCTGGCATTGTAGTACACAGCATAGTAACGTGTTGAACATGTTGTAATAATCAAAACCAAGAAAGGGGATCTTGTTTTTTACCGGGGTCTAATATTCCAGTTCCTAGTGTCTCAGATTGGCCAGTCAGACCAGGGTCACATTCCATACGCAGCCGTCCTGCTGTGTTTATGGATGGCGTATCTGGGAGGGTATCAGCTTCAGAGACCAATTAGATGGAGGCTTGCCTGGAATACGCCATGGAGCCAAAAATAATGAAACAGGCTATGAAGGCACACTCACTGCAGTCTATCAAGTCCCGATGACACCAGTCAAATTAGTAGTCAGTAGGCCTACTACTGAGTAATGTTAGTTTCACTTGTTTTGATATGAGCTTGACATTATCTAGGAACTCCTCCATCTGAATGTCCTGTTGAGTGAAATAATCAAGTGTCTCTCCATACCCCTATTTTTCCTTCTTTTTTAAACCACTTACTTCCTCTAAACATGGACATGGTTCATAAAAATTCTGGTTTTGCCTGAATGGCAGATATTAACACTGTCGCCCTCTAGTGTTTCATACCAAATACTCCTTTTAAATCATCCACACGTCTTTTGCATGACTATCACACCACTTTTCCATTTGCACGGTTTCACTGCTGGGATTAAAATGTGAGGAGAGTGGAGACCAAGAAAATACCTTTATTCCATATTTGGCTATTCTATTGCACAAAAGAAAAACATGATTATCATTGTGAAGATTGATATCCAACAGCTGAAATTGAGGGAAGTGTTAAAACATGTTAAGTTATAAAATATGTCCTCTTATCTGTACTGTAAAATACAAAAAGAAAAAGATGAAATTATGTTGATAGCTCTATTCAAATACAAAAAAATTGATGTTTTAAACATATCCTTTAGTATTTTCAAACAGACATCAACTACTAGGACATTATCATTCCAATGATTCCAACACACATACACTACATGACCAGAAGTATGTGGACACCTGCTCATCGAACATCTCATTCCGAAATCATGGTAATTAATATGGAGTTGGTCCCCCCTTTGCTGCTATAACAGCCTCCACTGTTCTGGGAAGGCTTTCAACTAGATGTTGGGGACTTGCTTCCATTAAGTCACAAGAGCATTAGTGAGGTCAGGCACTGATGTTGGGCGATTAGTCCTAGCTCACAGTCGGTGTTCCAATTAATCCCAAAGGTGTTCGATGGGGTTGAGTTTAAGGCTCTGTGCAGGCCAGTCAAGTTCTTCCACACCAATCTCAACAAACCATTTCTGTACGGACCTTGCTTTGTGCACTGGGGCATTATCATGCTGAAACAGGAAAGGGCCTTCCCCAAAGGCACAGAATCGTCTAGAATGTAATTGTATGCTGTAGCGTTAAGATTTTCCTTAACTGGAACTAAAGGGCCTAGCCCGAACCATGAAAAACAGCCCCAGACCATTATTCCTCCTCCACCAAACTTTACAGTTGGCACTATGCATTGGGGCAGGAAGCGTTTTCCTGGCATCCGCCAAACCCAGATTTGGCCGTGGGACTGCCAGATGGTGAAGCGTGATTCATCACTCCAGAGAAAACATTTCCACTGCTCCAGAGTCCAATGGCGGCGAGCTTTACACCACTCCAGCTGACGCTTGGCATTGCGCATGTTGATCTTAGGCTTGTGTGCGGCTGCTCGGCCATGGAAACCCATTTCATGAAGCTCCCAACGAACAGTTATTGTGCTGACGTTCCTTCCAGAGGCAGTTTGGAACTCGGTAGGGAGTGTTAGAGGACAGATAGTTTTTACTCGCTTCAGCACTTGGCGGTCCCGTTCTGTGAGCTTGTGTGGCCTACCACTTCGCGACTGAGATGTTGTTGCTCCTAGACGTTTCCACTTCACAATAACAGCACTTACAGTTGACGCGGGCAGCTCTAGCAGGGCAGAAATTTGACGAACTGACTTGTTGGAAAGGTGGCATCCTATGATGGTGCCACGTTGAAAGTCACCGAGCTCTTCAGTAAGGCCATTCTACTGCCAATGTTCGTCTATGGAGATTGCATGGCTGTGTGCCCGATTTTATACAGCCTTTTGGCCATGTAGTGTATTAAACCAGTCAGTCCATAACATGACATGTCCTCCAGGTGCACTTAGTATGTGAGCTTGTTGGGTAGTGTCTAACTTGCGCAAGAACGGCACACATCCATATTCGTTGGGTTTTTACAAATTAAAAGGTTCAACTCAGGAGTACTATTGTGCTATAAGGTCTTACAAATGCTATAAAAACATGGATGTGTGTTAAAACTGCACACTTGTTGACAAAATGCCACTTGGAAAATATTTGCATAGACTGACCTGACTAATAACAGAAGGTAAATTCGCAGGACAGAAAAACCGACAGCAGTGACCCAAGTAAATGAAAAGTCCCTAGTAAAGAAATGCCTATTATGAATTCTTATTGTGTAATGGTCCAGTTTGGTTAGTAAGGGAATTTATTTGAGTAGTATTACAGTGTTAATGAGATCCACAAATAAATATACACTCAGTGGCCAGTTTATTAGATACACCACCCAGTTCACGAAAATGGTTTGCTCCTACAGACAAGACAGTGAGTCGCGTGGCCATGGCTTGCTATATAAACAGGCATTCAGTTACTGTTCGATTGAACGTTTCAATGGGCAAAACAAGTGACCTAAGCGACTTTGAGCATGGTATGATCATCGGTGCCAGGCGCTCCGGTTCCAATATCTCAGAAACGGCTGGCCTCCTGGGCTTTTCACACATGACAGTGTCTAGGGTTTACCGGCAGTCCTGTGGGCGAAAACAGCTCGTTGATGAGAGGTCGAAGGAGAATGGCAAAAATCGTGCAAGCTAATAGGCAGGCCACAAACAGGCAAATAACGGCGCAGTACAACAGTGGTGTGCAGAACGGCATCTCGGAACACACAACTCGTCGGTCCTTGTCACGGATGGGCTATTGCAGCAGACGACCACACCGGGTTCCACTCCTATCAGCTAAAAACAAGAAGAAGCGGCTCCAGTGGGCATGCAATCACCAACACTGGACAATTGAGGAGTGGAAAAACATTGCCTGGCCCAGCGAATCCCGGTTCCTGTCGCATCATGCTGATAGCAGAGTCAGGATTTGGCGCAAGCAGCATGTGTCCATGGCCCCATCCTGCCTGGTGTCAACAGTACAGGCTGGTGGCGGTGGTGTAATGGAGTGGGGAATGTTTTCCTAGCACACATTAGGTCCCTTGATACCAATTGAGCAACGTGTCCATGCCCCGAAGAATTCAGGCTTTTCTGGAGACAAAGGGGGGTCCGACCCAGTACTAGATGGGTGTACCTAATAAATTGTAAACCTTGTGTAGTGGCTCTGGAAGCAGGGTGTAAAGTTGTCTGTACCCTGTGGGTGTGTACATGTAAACTGCAGGCTACGCAAAGAAACAGAAGACACCAGAGGTCAAAATTCCAATACAGTATGGCTGCAACCTGATTCTCCATCCTCCGGCCTGTCATGGATTCAAATTGTTATTTTCAATTTCTGGAGCTTTCCCTTATCCATCCTTCCCCTCCCTCCCTCCCTCCCACATTCCCCCCACCTTCTCCTCCTGTCATTCTTCATCCACGCGTACTGTACAGGTCCTCATCCTCAGGGTTGGCCTGGCCCAGGTCAACTAGCTTAGGGTCTGGTGCAAATTTGGGTTTCCCTGGAAATATAAAAAATATTATTTTATAGTGGACATCAATATCTGATAAAGAAGATGAATCCAACTGTTTAGATTAAAATATATTCTCAGAGGCGGCTGGAGGGAGGTGCTGTAGGAGAACGAGCTCATTGTAATGGCTTGAATTGAATAAATGAAATGGTATCCTACATACGGAAACCACGTTGGACTCCGTTCCATTCGAGCCATTACATTGAGCCCGTCCTCCAATAGCTCCTCCCACCAGCCTCCACTGCTTCACATTGATTTGTGTGACTCACCAGCAGTTTTTATTACAATCACAGATGGCTCCTCTGTTGTAGCTGGAGGAGCAGCCTCCTCAACAGGAGCAGGTACAGTATCTTCAGCTGCAGGAGGTGAAGGAGCAGCTTCCTCCTCAACAGGTGCAGGTGGTGGAGGCTCTGTCTCTTCAGCAGGAGGTGGGAGAGGAATAACTTCCTCTGCTGGGGGAGGTGCAGGGACAGCCTCAGCAGGGGCAGGTGGAGGAATATCTTCAGCAGGTGGAGCAGCAGCTTCCTCAGCAGGAGGTGCAGGGGCAGCCTCTTCGGCAGGGGCAGCCTCTTCGGCAGGGGCAGCCTCTTCGGCAGGGGCAGGCACAAGGGCCCTCTGAACAGCCTCTTGCTCCACCACTGTGACTGCCTCAGGTTCAGCTGCAGGAGGTTCAGTGTCAATAGAACCCTCTGCAGGGTTCACCTCTGTGGTGGGCTGAGGGGCAGGTTCAGCCTCAGATGGAGCACCCTCTACGGGGGCTGGGGGAGAACTAGGTTCAGTGGGGGAAGCCTTGTCAACTGCAGGCGTGGCTGGTTCAGATGATTCAGCTTCAGGGAGGGGCTTTGCCTCTGACACTTCTGGCTCAAGGATGGGAGCTGGTGGGGCTTGCTGCTTGTAAACAGGAAAACTTTGGTCAAGCTGTGTTTAATCCATAAAAATATGCTGTTCAAACTCAACTTTTCAACTCCTGAGAGAGCTTTAAACAGTTTGTAAGATCTATGAATCATTGACCTAGCTAGAACGCTGGTACACACGTTTTCCACAGTGAAAACGATTTAAATATGAGAACAGAGACTAGATGAAAAAAGCATCTATAATGTCAATAGTCTGTTGTACCTCAAGACTGACAGTTGGGGGAGTTACTTCTTTGGGCTTTGATTTAAATATTGATGCCACAGATGATGTAGTGCACTGGCTTACTGCATACATCTTCTGCCCCGTCATCTGCAGAAGAACAGAAACACATTGTTAGGCCTCTGTGGCATAACACAGGGAATCCAAAAGTTTCTGCTCTAATTTTAGCTCATATGCACATGGATGTTACAAAAATGTACATACATCTGCATTTAAAAAACGTGATATTGTGCAATAATACAAAAGGTGTCTAAACAGTCTAAAGTATTGGATCTCATGGCATTGGATTGATTTAATAGTGTGTAAAAAGGCCTTAGTGACACTCAAAAAGAAGCTGAGGCAAAAGTGTCCCAGTGCATTAATCTGTGGAATTACTGTACCTTTACAACACCCACTGTCTGAGTGGGGTAGCACACGGCCATGCCAATAGTGGCCATACCCAGAGGAACCCCCAGCCTCATCAGACGTGACCCTGCAGAGAAAGAACCAGTCAGCTACTGTACATAGTGGAACATGATACCAAAAGAGACATTTGGCAACCTGCTTATTTAGACATTTTACTGCAACGTGTACATTTCGGATCATCTATAATAAACTGCTGGTCAATAATCTGGGCTGTATTCAGTGATGTGAAATGTTCTGTACATTGCAGATAGATATAGAATGATTAAAGCGGACCCAATTCCCTATTTTATCGGAGACAATCATATCAGTTTTACACAATACATTTCTATCTGAACTATCTGTAATGTTACATTCTCCTGAACAGCGGAGGTCGTGCAATATCTTTAATGCGGCAACTCATTACCTTTCCTTGCCAGGATCAGACCAGCTAACCCAGAGACTGTGATTACACCGACCCTCGGGATAAAACCAGGAGGAGGATCTCTCAGGAACTCATATGTATCTAGGTAAAATAAACATGGAAAAAAGGTTTTGCAGAGATAGCAGAACAGACCTACTCATGTGTCAACAGAACTCCCCCACTCCTCACCATGTCCAGCAGTATAGCCTGTTACAGCTCCAACCATGACAGAGGTATAAGCATTCTGGAAAAACAATGGTCAGAAATTAGCACAAAATACAACTTGTTTGCAAAACAAACCAATAGAGCTGAGATATTACTAGAGTTATACCACAAAAGCAGCCATTTTGAGAAAGTTCCTCACCTTCTATTGATCTCATGGCATCTAACACAAAATGAGAGTTCTCAGTAAGAGTAGATGTTTACTATAACTGAACTAAAGATCCACTCCAAACTTCCAGCATGTAATTCTTAAAAATCTATATTGATGAATATTCAACATTAGCCGACATAACCAGCAGTGATAGAGGCCATCTGAGCCAGTTAGTGTTTCAATACCTTAACGGCTCTAACGTATGGCTGCAGCCCCACCCGGACCACCCCCAGCCCACTCTGCAGAGCTCCAGGCTGCTCATCCATGTAGTGCGTTGCTGGAGGGTCTGGAGCATAGATGGACAACTGAGGACAGTACAATAGATCAATAGGATCATCACTGGTGGCAATTTTTGGTTCATCACTGGTTCAAGTTTTCATTGTCACGTGCACAAGCAAAGTGAAATGCCTTTCTTGCTTGCTCTTTCCGAACAATGCAGTAATCAATATCAGTAGTACTATAAAACATTTATAAAAAAGTAAAGTAGAACTAAAACACACGAGAAATAAGTAACTGTTCTTGAGTAAGTTCTACATCTTGGTCCTTAGATTACCTCTCTAGGGGAGAGCAGCACAGTCTCTGTTTTGTCCTGACTCATGGCATAAACTCGAAACGAGGCCAATCCCATTGCTGCTGGGATCACTGCCAGCTTCACTACCTGCAGACACACATAAACAACAACACAGACCTTTGTCAGGATAGGCCTAAAGTGGTTTTCCTGTCTGATATTCACATCTCAACAGTTATTGATGAAGCACAGTTGAATCCAATAAAATATAGGCTTACACCCGTTTTGTGCCAGCCATATTACATCGATATTTGAATCCAAGTATCGATTTGTATTTTTTTGCTACTGTTAGTCGTCCAAAATGCCGGTATTCTTCATCTTATAAATTTGTTCACCATCTTCTTTTTAAATAGTGAGCCAACATGTTTTCAGCACTTTTATTTCCCTGACTGATCAAAACTCATTTTCTCTCTCGTGTCTATTTTCAGCAGACATATAGTTAGCCCATTCATTGACGATAACATCATCTTCCTTGGGAAATGTTGTTAAGAGCCCCGACGCTTGGTCTGAACGTTACCAAAGCATCGCTTGCGGTACGGTTTTTTGAGACATAAGGAACGTATCCTTCATATCAACAAGAAATTATTTCAGAAAAACAATAGGTTCAATTACTACACACCTTTACAGGGTTAGTGTTCCCACACGGCCATATCTCCATGTTACAGCGCTTGTTTACGGAAGACAAGAGGCGACCACCTGGGTTAATTAGCTAGGCCAGGGGTGTCAAACTCATTTTAGCTCAGGGGCCACATGGAGGAAAATATATTCCCAAGTGGGCCGGACCGGTAAAATCATGGTATATATATATATAACTTAAAAACAACAACTTCAGATTGTTTTCTTTGTTTTAGTACGATCAACATAAAACATCAAGCTGGAGCCTGAGGACAGTGTGTCCAAAATAGTACAAGCACAACATCCCTATTAATCATAAAACACCTCAAGTTTATTTGAAAATTCTAAAGAAAAAGAACACACAATGCCTCAGTGATTAACAGAACTGTTTCACAGATCACAGAACTATATCAGGGTGTCATTTCTCAGGCAGAAATGTAGATAAATTATGAAATCCTGTTCCCCAAACAAGTGCAAGAACCACAGAGTCAAGAATAGGTTAAATATACAAATAAAATAAAATCAATTAAAAACAATAGCACATCAACATAAAAACATAAAGCTGGAGCCTGAGGACAGTGTGTCCAAAAGCACAACATCACTATTAATCATAAAACACCAAGTTATTTGAAAGTTCTGAGGACAAAGACCACACAAACACACAATGCCTCAGTGATTCACAGAAGTATATCACAGATCACAGAACTATATCAGTGTGTCTCATGCAGCACTTTAAGTGGGGTTGCATAGTTTATTTGACTCCTGATACCTGGCATCTTTTAGCTTTCACCAGCACATCAATATCAGGCGTCACATCCTGAGTGGCAGCCAACTTCAGGATGTGATTCAAGTGCTTGTGCGTGAGTCTTGAGCGCAGCTTTGTTTTATTTATGCTCATTACAGAGAACTTGCTCACAAAGATATGTGGTTCCAAACATGCACAACAGTTTTGCAGCGAGGGCTGTCAAGTTGGGGTAACCTGGCAAGAGACTCTGATAAAATGTGTCCAAGCCAGCTGCGGCAAATTTGCCCTTCAAATCCGAGTCACACTGCAAGTATATTATTTCAAGTTGGATGCTGACGGGCAGATCAGAGGGATTCATGGTGAATGGCGAGCAAAAAACATTGAAGTCTTTCTCCAGTTCACCAAAAATCTGAAAACGTTGCTCAAACTCCCGTAACAGTCCCGTTATTTTATCTTTGAACCGCTTCATGTCTGCCACATGTTGGGTCGCGCACACATTTTTCAGACAGGGGAAGTGAGCTGCATCACCACCGGCAAGTTGCATCTCCCACAATGACAGCTTCAACTTGAAAGAACGTATGCTGTCATAATACTGCGTGACAACTTTGTTGCGCCCTTGCAGCTGTTTGTTCAAGTTATTCAGGTGCTCTGTAACATCCACCATAAATGCAAGGTCCTGCATCCATTCTGCGGAATGAAATTCTAACACTCCTTTTCTTCCATGAACTGTTCAATTTCTTCTCGTAAATCAAAGAAACGCCTCAGCACAGCACCTCGGCTTAACCATCTTACCTCAGTGTGGTATGGCAGGCCATAGATGTGGTCTTTCTCTCTGAGAAGGCTGTCAAACTGACGGTGATTCAGGCTTCTGGATCGGATGAAATTAACAGTTTGGATGACCACCTTCATGACGTTATCCATCTTTAATGACTTGCAACACAAAGCCTCCTGGTGCAAAATAGTGAAAAGTCAAAAAATCACGTCCTCCATTTGCAGATTGCACTTTCTCTCTGAACTTTGTCACAACGCCTGCTTTTTTCCCGATCATTGAGGGCGCACCATCTGTAGCCAGGCTGACAGCGCGGGACTAGTCCACTCCTGTCTGCAACTATGTTTCTTGTCAGGCTGATATTTACTAAAGCCTGACGCTTTTCAGGGCACACAAACTCCGCTGCCTTCATCATGCATGTTTTTACAAATTCACCCTCACTAAATGGTTTTGAAGCCACTGCGATTTCATTAGCAATGAGTTAGCTAGCTTTCACTGCAGCGTCACTGATGTCTCGGCTGTGAGTAAACACAGACTGCTGTTTCTTCAGACCCGCCAACAGTTCATTCACCTTCTCTCTTCTCCGCTGTCCTTGAAAGTTGTCATATTTGTCGGCATGAAGACTCACATAGTGGCGACGAAGGTTATATTCTTTCAGCACTGCAACATGCTGTGAACACACCAAACATACAGCTTTCCCATTGAATTCCGTGAATAAATAGGAGGATGACCATTTTTCTTGGAACACTCTGCACTCTGCGTCCACTTTTCTCTTTTTTGACAGAGACATATTGGGGCAATGAGGGTGCCAAAGCACATAATGTTAAAAGTAGAAGCCGTAATAAATATCGCGGGCAAAACAAAGTAGCTCATCCGGACTGGCTGCACAAGCTTGACGTACTTGCTCTGCCCCGGTATAAACAGTTTGCTTGCTTAATTCATCCAGTGGACGCAATTGGAACAGCAGTTTATTTTATTGAAAAATTGCAGCGCATTTTTATACTTTACAAAATCATCTCGCGGGCCGGATTAAACCCGTTTGCGGGCCTGATCCGGCCCGTGGGCAGGACGTTTGACACCCCTGAGCTAGGCTATCTGTTTAAGCATAACTGGGGAGGAAGTGTAGCAGAAGTGTTGTTCGTCGGCTGGAGGCACACACTGTATGGATCTATGCAAATCTGCAGCAGTAAGTATCTTTTTTATTTCAAAGATGATCGCTGATATAAGGGCCATATGTTTCAAACCGGCGACATGATGATTATTGACGTTTCTAAACTTTAAAACACAACATCATGATTGTAGTTCACATGGAGCCAGCCGTGGGCGAAGCTAACCATTGAAAAACCTACAGAGAAGCTATATAGTGAGCAATATGTTTGGAACATCAAATCGCAATTAAAATCGCAGTATGGAATCGAAATAGGCCTATAGCTAGAATCGTAATACATATCGTATCGGCACCTAAGTATCGTGATAATATCGTGAGGTTCCTGGCAAGTCCCAGCCCTAATTATCATGATAAATACAGTTATCAGAACAGTATTTTACCTTAAATCATGGTTATTTTTGTTTTTAATGTAATATTAATTTGATCCTGATCAGAGAAAAGACATTGACCTTGTTGAACAGGATCTTCTAGATTGAAATAATTAACGTTAAATGGATACAGTTAAACTAGCTAACAAATGTAGGACAGATTACGAAGGTCACCTTAATCTTCTTTAATCACATTTAAAGAGTAGGCTACCTACAATGTTAATCCTTAAATAAAGAGAAACACTGGACTACATTACTATTCAATTCTAGATCTAATTTAAACTCCACATTCGTAGATAACTAGAACATAGTCCTTCCACAGTAATTTGCGTTTGTACAACATGTTCTAAAAGGAGCGTGTAGCAAACTGCATGTTATATTGACGTTATTCTGGTCGATATAGACACATAGTTAAATACACAAATGTAAATTATTCGACCTTTTTAAAAGAACTTAGAGGACCAGTTCAAACTCAAGGAAAACATGGTTTAGGATAGATTTGCATGGCAGAAAAACTTACCGTGGTAGCCATGATGGTACCTCCTCCTCAGTGTCTTACCGGTGGCGATAAGGGACCAACTTTATCATAGGAAAACGCGTTAAATCCTGTTTGACTGTTGCTGTTGCAAGATTGCTTTTACTGGTCAGTGTATATGACCTCGAAAGTAACAATGATATACACAAAGCAATGTTAATCAGTTCTCCTATTCATTTAGAGAGTAGTGTTCTCCATTCCTTGTCCTATCCTTGAACAAGCCTGCACATGTGGGTCCCTGCAGGGTTGAAGAACTGCTTCAGTTCAGAGTGGCCTAATTTTGATGCACGTTTTATTATCGAAATAACTACACAGAAATGCATTCATTTGTGCAGTAATTCAGTTTATTGGTTTTACAACTTAAGTTTTACAACCTCGTACTGTATATATTTCTGAGAAACAAAGGCTACTTTTGATTCATAGGAAGAATAAATTTATTTCTCTTTCTCAATATCACTTTTTTAATAAGTTAATGTACAGATAAACAGATAATAATATACTTCCAAAAAAGAGCAATATGTTCCTTTTTTAATGTCGCAGTGCAACTTACATCTTAGCTACACACCTGCGCAGTTGTACTATGAGGTGCACACCTCCAAAATAACACAGTGGAACCCTGGGCAGATTGAACAGATTTCATGTACAATGTTTTAAAACATTGTGAGAACAATTACATTCTGGTTAAATGAAATACATTCTACAATACATGTACTGCTATTCATAAATTTTGAGAATTGAGAGCAACAACTTGAGAGTAACAACTGCGGACGTTTTAGAAGTGTTAGTAGCCTATATGTCTAATATGACATGTAGCCAGGCCAGTGTAGTTATAATGTATAATTTGAAGTATATTATACTGTATAACAAATGTACTGACACCTAAAGGCATTTTAAGTACCAGGACACATCACTGGATGATAACTGCAGGTAAATTGAAGCAATGTCAATATCCTGCCAGGAATAAAGGTACAAGTATTAAGCGTCGCAAAGAAAAACATTATCATTGACATTTTATAGAAATAAAATAGAAACAAGTAAAAGAAAGTCAAGTAAATAGGCCTAGAAAAAAGTGTCAAACTTGAAAAATTCAAAATGTGTTATGAGTTGTTGATCATGTATTTTGCGCAGGTAGAATGCAATCACATTGAAGTACTACTTCTCAACCTGTAGAAAGAAACAACTTAAGCAGATACATATCCGTCAACAATTCCGGGATCCTTTTTAAAATAAGCCAGTACATTCACATAGAAAATCAGAGACACAGAAAGGGAACAGAATACATTAACAGAACTCAGGACCTGAATCAATCCTGAAGATCAGGAGGTAACTTCTGTAACAGCTGGAGTGAAGCAAAAACAGTCATTCAGGAGACGCAATGCTTTTTGTGTTTTATATCATTTTTCTATGAAAAATATAAGTAAAACGATTCTGTGGTCACAGAATCTAAAGATTGCATTCACAAGTATATAGTTCACAGTTTTAAATAGAGGGTGCTGCTATGCAAACAATAATATTTTTCTTTAACACATTTCTCAACCCCAATGGCCACATGTACATGTTTACTACCATGCAGATGTTTGATTTCAAAAATAAATTTCACCAACAAATTCTATAATGATGGGCAAAATCATAATAGCTACAAAGAGACATATCAATAAATGTAAAAAGTTTCATTCCGGTGAGCTGTGTTTGACTAAACAAAATGTACATAATGTACATAATTATGCATACATGTTAAACATGCAACATCCGTACATACAACAGAAATGCATTATAAAACTCTACTGAGCTTCATACACTAAAAGCCCAAATACCTCCATCTCTCACTCTCTCTTCCTAACACACCCCTCTCCTCTCCACACTTTTACACATATTGGGTCTTTATTTCCAGAGACTCAGGGTCACACAGTACCATGATTCCCCAGTAGGGGGTGCATTGTTGTAATCAGTGATGCCTATTAGCTAGTCGCTACATAGCTCTCTCTTAAAGCAGCATTAAAGGGGAAATAAAACATTTAATAAAAACTAAACTCACTTCCTCTTAAGCAAGCAATGAAATAAGAAAAAAGACAATAGAAGAAAAAAATGCATTGCATCAGCCAAAAACAGTTATTGTCTTTTTGTTGTTAAGTTCTCTTTCAATCTATCATTTGTTGCATTTTCTGTTTTAAAGATAATGGATGATAGTTTCTCTTCAGGCATGCAGAATGGCACCCTGTGGGGGCCTTATTTTATCCAATATACAGTATATACACCGACCGTTACTCTCTTATGTTTAACCTCAGCGCAGTATGTACACATATTACAGTGATTGGTTTGTCAGTTAGTGAATGGTGACGGTAGACCCTGACTGCATGAACGATTGGGGGGGAAGAGATAATGGCATGATTCCACAGTGTCTCCTTGTTACTCTGTCTCTGAGCACTCGTGTCTCAAACGTGCGTTTCGATGAAGGAGTGGGTGTGCATCATCAGTGGTGGGGACAGGGGTGAGAGGTCGGACCCCTCGGGGTGAGGCTCTGTCGGGGCGGAGCTGAACTCACAGATGTCCACAAACAGCTCATGGTGCTGCTGCTTCCACTGCTGGAACTTCTGGGAGCTTAGACCGGAGTCGTCCAGCACTTGGCTGATAATGGCCAGATCACCCTCTTTGGCCTGTGGGAAAACATCAATTAGTGTTTGGCTTACATACCACCCCAATGACCACACTCATATGCCACCTCACTCTCATCACCATAGACAGCCACCTACTGGACCTGTAACACCCACTGTACCTCTATAAGTATTCACCCTGCCCTATGACTCATACCTGCCCTATGACTGTGCCACAGCCTGCTCTGTGGTTGTGTCCCACCCTCTCCGTACCTTGAGTGTGCTGTGCAGGGCACGAATGCGGTGCAGCTTGTCGTTGATGACAGGGTCGTTGCAGCGCTTGACGAAGGAGCGTCTGAACTCCTGTTTGGTAGAGGGCCTCTGCTCCCCCATGGCAGACAGGCTGGCCCGCTCTATGGAGCGGTACAGCTCCTGAAAGCCATCCACTCCCTCATGATCATGACCTCGCTCTTTAGACCGAGAATCTGAGGGGGGAGAGTAGGACAGGATTTCAAAGCTCTGTGCGCTAAACCTTATTCAACCATTTAAACTTGGATAAAAGCTTTACAATGTACCTTATCATCAAATAAATATATAATCAAAGCATAACAAGGTATATGTGTATTTTTTAAACAGTAACTTGAAGTCTGAGGAGTCCTAAAGACAAGCCTGGCGAAAGCAGGAAGTGCTAGAGTGCATCCTTACCTTGGTGTTTCTTGGAGTTGTGCTTTCTGAATGGCACCTCGTCGTCCTCACTCCTCTCCTCTGAGGGTCCTGCTGAGCACAGGTTGCCCTTGGTGCCCTGCACGTCCCTGTTCCGGGGCAGGCTCTGGCTGCGCTGCTTGTGGGCACAGTGAAGGCGCTGTTCGCGTTCCTCTATGTCCACCAATGGGAAGGGCCCATCTCTGTCAGGTTGTCGGCGCCTCTGGGCGGGCAGTGTGGCCTGGCGCCGGCGCTCAGGGGACATGAGCAGCTGACCCATTCCCATGTGGCCGCTGCCGTAGCCCCCGTCACCCTCCCCCGGCACGGTCTGCAGGAAGTGGAGGCCCGAGCTGGTGAGGGGCGTCTCGATCAGGTCCTGCCAGGAGCGGCGTTGGGTGTCGCGGAGGGTGGGGCGGCAGCCAGAGGAGTGGGTGCTCCCGGGGACGTCCGGACGGGAGTCCTCAGCTGAGGAGTGGGAGTATGTGGACTCACTGGAGAAGTGGCGCTCAGGGAACGGACTGGAGGAGTTCACCTGGAAGGGAGCCAGTGGACAGAGGTATTTAATGATATTGATAGGACCACTATGTGTTGTATGAGTGTATGTATGTGTGTGTGCAGTGAATGTGTACATGTGAGTGTGTGTTCCAGAGTGTGAACCAGTGGCCTGCACTCACAGACGGGGTGCGGTGGTAGGTGTCACAGCGAGATGACATGCCCTCTTGTTTCAGGGTCATAGAACCATCCATCTCATCCTGGTCACTCTCACTCCAGTAATCTGAAACACATAAAAGTTAAACATCATTAAACTAAACACCTTGGGTGACCTCATCCATGCCAATACTGTCTGTGTACAATAGGCATTGGTCTAATACATTTACATAACATTTCACTTCAATGTCCTTAAATCATTAGATTTACACATCACAACAATATGTAGTCAGATTGTCCTACCTTCATCAGGGCGTGGAACCTTATCGTCAGGTGTGTAGCCAATCGCCGCCAGCCCCAGCCGGTTCATCCATCTAAATGGGTAAGAGGACAGGGTGCAGATACACAACATGAGATGTTAACTGACTAACTGATACCATACTGGGAGTGGTGGGAGGTTTGACATGTGTTATGTTACACTGTAGTCTATATTTCTTAAGAATATTCATTATTAACAGTTTGCATTGAATGGAAGAATGTCTATCGATGGTATGATATGCAGTCTTTCTGAATCCTCTCACATTCACATTACAAAGAAAAGAGCCAGAGATAATAAGTAAATCAGTCACAACCCAAGATGAAACTGTTTCTGATAAACAAAGCACTAGCTGCTGACCCAGAGGGCTATTTGAAACAAGATACTTACTGCCTTTTATCATCATTTTTAAAAAAAAGTCTCAGTAGAACAACACTACAGACACCTAAAGTATATTTTCTTATTCCTCATGTTTGAGAATCAAATAACGATGTCAAAGCTCCAGCTATGAATGCTCTGAAACAGAGCATTTCCTTAAATAATATGTAAGCTAATGTACATGCTGTTACAATCAAGAAAGCATTTCATGAAATAAGCACACTAATTAACCCTACCATCAAAGTACAGGTAGTAATGCTAGAAAAAATTGTGTTACCTGTTCATCTCCTCCAAACAGTCTGTGGCGAAAAAGAAACTCTTGATTTTGGGATGGCAGGCTTTAAAGGCACTGTAACAGAAGCAGAAACAACATCCATTTAGTCTGTGTAGTGTTGTAGATCATCTGACGCTTAAACATTTCCATTTTGCATTATTTCATTCTGTTAGCCTGAGATCCAGACCACCTTGTAAAAAACGCAAAAAATCTGGTGTTTCTATGTCAAACGGTTTTGTTATATTTCAGTCTTCTGTGATGTATATAAAGTGTAATATTGGGATGCAAACTGAAAATGTGATACAGTGGCTTGCGAAAGTATTCACCCCCCTTGGCATTTTTCCTATTTTGTTGCCTTACAACCTGGAATTAAAAATTGATTTTTTGGGGGGGTGTATCATTTGATTTATACAACATGCCTACCACTTTGAATATGCAAAATATTTATTGTGAAACAAACAAGAAATAAGACAAGAAAACAGAACCTGAGCGTGCATAACTATTCACCCCCCCCCCCCCCCCCCCCCCCCCCAAAGTCAATACTTTGTAGAGCCACCTTTTGCAGCAATTACAGCTGCAAGTTTCTTGGGGTATGTCTCTATAAGCTTGGCACATATAGCCAAGGGATTTTTTCCCATTCTTCAAGGCAGAACTGCTCCAGCTCCTTGGATGGGTTCCGCTGGGGTACAGCTATCTTTAAGTCATACCACAGGTTCTCAATTGGATTAGGCCATTCCAAGACATTTAAATGTTTCCCCTTAAACCCCTCAAGTGTTGCTTTAGCAGTATGCTTAGGGTCATTGTCCTGCTGGAAGGTGAACCTCCGTCCCAGTCTCAAATCTCTGGAAGACTGAAACAGGTTTCCCTCAAGAATTTCCCTGTATTTAGCGCCATCCATCATTCCTTCAATTCTGACCACTTTCCCAGTCCCTGCCAATGAAAAACATCCCCACAGCATGATGCTTCCACCACCATGCTTCACTGTGGGGATGGTGTTCTCGGGGTGATGAGAGGTGTTGGGTTTGCGCCAGACATGGTGTTTTCCTTGATGGCCAAAAAGCAAAATTTTTGTCTCATCTGACCAGAGTACCTTCTTCCATATGTTTGGGGAGTCTCCCACATGCCTTTTGGCAAACACCAAACGTGTTTGCTTATTTTTTTCTTTAAGCAATGGCTTTTTTCTGGCCACTTTTCCGTAAAGCACAGCTCTGTGGAGTGTACAGCTTAAAGTGGTCCTATGAACAGATACTCCAATCTCCGCTATGGAGCTTTGCAGCTCCTTCAGGGTTATCTTTGGTCTCTTTGTTGCCTGTGATTAATGCCCTCCTTGCCTGGTCCGTGAGTTTTGGTGGATGGCCCTCTCTTGGCAGGTTTGTTGTGGTGCCATATTCTTTCAATTTTTTTATAATGGATTTAATGGTGCTCTGTGGGATGTTCAAAGTTTCTGATATTTTTTTTACAACCCAACCCTGATATGTACTTCTCCACAACTTTGTCCCTGGCCTGTTTGGAGAGTTCCTTGGTATTCATGGTGCCGCTTGCTTGGTGGTGCCCCTTGCTTAGTGGTGTTGCAGACTCTGGGGCCTTTCAGAACAGGTATATATATACTGAGATCATGTGACAGATCATGTGACACTTAGATTGTACACAGGTGGACTTTATTTAACTAATTATGTGACTTCTGAAGGTAATTGGTATGATGTGTTTGTCTCTGTTTCATTTAGACTTTGTTTTCTTTTAAATCCCCAGGTTCACTAACAGTTTGAGAGACAAAAAAACAATCACAAAAACACTCACTGTTTCCTTCTGCATTCAATTGCTCTATCTATTCGGAACTCAGGTAGGCTGATGAAACCTTCAGCCTTCTCGTCCTAGGAAGGGAGAGGTAAGGGAAATGAGAAGCAATACATTCCAGTATGTCTGTAGAGATGACAGACCTCATTAAGTATATCAGACATACTGGAATATACTGTACACTACGTGACACTGCAACATAAATGGTTCAGTATCTGGAATATGGCCTGTAGTGTTGCTATGTTTGTGTGAGTCACCATGACAAATCTGCAGATAGTGCTGGTAAACAGCAAGCCTGTTGTGGCAGATAAGAGAAAATAAAGTAATGTTTGACAGCTGTAATGTACTGTCAGAGAGCAGCTTACATTCTGGTTGGTGTACCAGTAGAGCGAGGAGTCCTTGAGGATGAACCAGTACTTCTTCCACTTCTGGGTGAAGTAGCCCTTGGCATCCTTCTTCTTCCACAGCCAGCCCTCACAGTCCCCATGGCCCAGGTCCTTACAGGAGATACGCCTGCGGCTAGCGCTAGTCAGAGAACCTGGGTGGAGAGCAGGATATCACAGGGAATTCTCATAGACACATGAACACACTAAACATTCCCGGGATGATATCCTCAATACTAGCATCATTTCAAACCCATCACCAACTCTTAGTAAACTATTGGAATAAATGGTGTTTGACCAGATAAAATGCTGTTTTACAGTAAACAAATTGACAGCAAACTTTCAGCATGCTTATAGAGAAGGACATTCAACAAGCACAGCACTTACACAAATGACTGATGATTGGCTGAGAGAAATTAATGATAAAAAGATTGTGGGGGCTGTTTTGTTAGACTTCAGTGCGGCTTTTGACATTATTGATCATAGTATGCTGCTGGAAAAACCTATGTGTTATGGCTTTACTCCCCCTGCTATATTGTGGATACAGAGTTAACTGTCTAACAGAACACAGAGGGTGTTCTTTAATGGAAGCCTCTCCAACATAATCCAGGTAGAATCAGGAATTCCCCAGGGCAGCTGTCTAGGCCCATTACTTTTTTCAATCTTTACTAATGACATGCCACTGGCTTTGAGTATGCGGATGACTCAACACTATACATGTCAGCTACTACAGCGACTGAAATGACTGCAACACTTAACAAAGAGTTGCAGTTAGTTTCAGAGTGGGTGGCAAGGAATAAGTTAATCCTGAATAATTCTAAAACTTAAAGCATTGTATTTGGGACAAATCATTCACTAAACCCTAAACCTCAACTAAATCTTGTAATAAATAATGTGGAAATTGAGCAAGTTGAGGTGACTAAACTGCTTGGAGTAACCCTGGTTGTAAACTGTCATGGTCAAAACATATTGATACAACAGTAGCTAAAATGAGAAGTATGTCCGTAATAAAGCGCTGCTCATCCTTCTTAACAGCCCTATCAACAAGGCAGGTCCTACAGGCCTAGTTTTGTCACACCTGGACTATTGTTCAGTCATGTGGTCAGGTGCCACAAAAAAGGATTTAGGAAAATTGCAATTGATTCAGAACAGGGCAGCACGGCTGGCCCTTGGATGTACACAGAGAGCTAATGTTAATAATATGCCAATCTCTCCTGGCTCAAAGTGGAGGAGAGATTGACTTCATCACTACTTGTATTTATGAGGGGTATTGACATGTTGAATGCACCAAGCTGTCTGTTTGAACTACTGGCGCACAGCTCGGACACCCATGCATACCCCACAAGACATGCCACCAGAGGTCTCTTCACAGTCTCGAAGTCCAGAACAGACTATGGGAGGCGCACAGTACTACATAGAGCCATGACTACATGGGACTCTATTCCACATCAAGTAACTGATGCAAGCAGTAGAATCAGATAAAAAAAATAAAAAAAATATGGAAGAGCAGGGACTGTGAAGCAACACAAACATTGGCGCAGACACATGCATACACACACACGATAACATACGCACTATACACACACGTACACATGGGTTTTGTACTGTAGATATGTGGTAGGGGTGGAGTAGGGGCCTGAGGGCACACAGTGTGTTGTGAAATCTGTGAATGTATTGTAATGTTTAAAAAAATGTATGAACTGCCTTCATTTTGCTGGACCCCAGGAAGAGTAGCTGCTAAGAGGGGGATCCATAATAAATACAAATCCTAATATAAAATTATTGACAAAGGATCACCAAAAGAATCCTCACAGTAAAAGGATTTATCCCATGTCTCACCTTTGGTTCTCTTTTTGGTCTTAGTCCTTAAAGACGCATAGTGAAATGACTGCAAGGAGAGGGAAGAGGAGAGGGTTTGATTAGAAGAGGTTTCTAAAGTACAGTACTCATACCAGGGGAGTAACAGTAGTATTATTGAAATATTTTACTTTACCTTCCTCATGGATGAGCCTCCTTGTCTTTCGATGCCAAAACTAGCATACCTGAGGAGAGGGGAGATCAGGTGAGTAAGCCTACAACAAAAATGGACGCTAACCCTCTTTATCTGGGGATGAGATTATCCTGTACTGGTATATAACTAATCCTTACATGAATATTATTCATTAAAAAAGGCAGAATCGTCACTTGATATCTATGCAAGAAACATATTAATGTATATTCCATCGACATGAATGCATGAGTTACATAGAGTACATTAAACATTGATTTGTTTGAGTGTATCTCATGCTAAAATTCATCCCAAATAACTTTTTTTAGGGGGTAGATCAGCTTTAAAATTTTAATTTAAAGATTGTAACATCCATCAATGTAATTGTCTGCATCACTTCCAATCCCCCATGTTTTTTTTTCTTCTCGCAAATATATATATATATATATATATATATATATACATACATACATACATACATATCCTTTTAAAAATATATATTTCCCTTTATTACTTTCCAACCCCACCACCCCTTCCCTAATTGGAGTAAACAACAATGCTTAGGCCTCTACTTCCAGCTTATACATACTATATACAAATAACTTAGTAGCTTTATCATACCCAGGGCTGGCCTGAATGCCCATCTGGAAATGGCTCTACTGACAGATGGTATAGCATTCTCAATATAAGCCTCACTACTTACTTTTGTAATACACTCAGATCCAGCTTTCATACTGTAAGTCATAGTGTATTAGGTACAGAAACATCTCTTTTGGGTGTGTAACATGCAGTGGACTGGATGTCAAACACATAGCAGGTATCTGACACCTTGGCTTGAACATAATTACTCTTCACCTACCCATATACTCGGTGTACAAATTGTGAGTGCATCCATTCTACCAAAGAGAATGATCTAAACTAAACCCTGATACATTTGGACAAGTACTGTATAGTTTCCAGCAAGTGAAAGTGAGCTAAACCACAGAGCTGGTGGCAGGAAATCCAATTCAGCAAGTCTCTGTGTCTCAGTAGAGCTCAGCACAGCACAACGGAAACCGTTCAGGGGATGTGCTGCTCATGTTGGCTATCTGCTCATCTATGAACACATTAATTGCACTAATCACTGTAAAAATGCCTGAAAGGACTTCTCTACTGCCAGACCCACTGTACTATTTTAGAACTACATGGTTGGAGCACCCACTGAACACTGACTATGGACAAGGTGTTGGGTTGTAGCATCAATTGGAACAAAGCACAGTGTTTCTTAAATAGAACCAGAAAATATGATTTAGGTCAGTGAAAGGTATAGAGGAAATATTGCCTGCTTGGCAACCCTCATGATGTATGTTTAAATGTCATTCCCTTGAGGCCAATTCAATTAAGTTAATCATTTGTAACAACCATATGATGGTATGCAGGATGACAGCAATTTACTTCACTCACGAGTCACTGGTTGAATAAAAATAATTTGTAAAAAAAAGTGGGTAACTAATATAGTGTAAATACAATATCAAACATTCACAAGATAAAGTACTGTATCTACCAGTGAAATGTTGATAGTTGATGAAAAGCTTTCAATTTACTGATACCAGTATGATACCAATCAATTTAGAAGGTACACAGCTAGCCTCCATAGTTTAGGCAAAAACCAAGTCCAACACAATTTTTTTAAATCATCAAATATATCCATGTTCCTCACAAATTCCTGCCTACATTTTCTGGCCATTGAGCTGGTCTGTCCCCTTAACCCCATGGAGAAGAAATGCTCACTCACCTGTCAGTGTCAGCTCTCAGTGTGTCTCCAGCTCTCTGCGGAAAGGTAAAGAGCAGATTAGCGCATCAGAGCGAGAGAGAGAGAGAGAGATCACAGCACACTGTCATCTCAGAGGGTGGCCTGTGTTTCCAGTTGTGACCAGGCAGGCAGATCAGTAGATCAGGGGTAGGAACCATGGGGTGTCTGGGGTTGTGGAAGTTGAGGGGGTATGGGTGGCAGTGTGGCAAACTTCTGACTCACTTATCTAATATTGTGACCTCAAAAAGGCTTTAACCACAAAAACATAACTGCTCTGTGACACAAATATGTTGAATCTGCATTGCCACTATGTCTGACTGCGTTAATAGCCATATTGTCATTCTTGATGCAGGTTGATAAATAAAAACAGTAGCTGTGCTGACTCACGTGGTACATTGGCACAGTGTTGCTCTCAGGCAGTGAGAAGGACAGGCCCTCTGGGGGTCCTGAGTCCAGTCTAACGGGCGGGGCCAGCATGGATGGGCTGATGGGATAGCTGGGGCTGCTGGGATTGTGGCTCTTCTTGCGGGAACGCCGCCCAGTGTCCCGCTTGCATTCCCGGGAAACATCCGGCTCCTCCTGGATCACCAGGATCTTGTCATCGCTCAGGTAACGTAGCAGGGAGTTGTCTGAGTCTAGCAGAGGTCAGGGAAGGAGGGAAAGAGGGGTGCACAGTTGTTTAATTATGAGGCCCAGAGTGCCTATCACATTCAAATGCTTGATGGCAAAACAAACTCTTACCAAAGGTTTAATGAAACATCATTTGAAAGGAAAATAAACTTTCTGAAGATTTCTGATTTGATACTTGTGGTCTGCAGTTGAGTCAAAGTGTGAGCAGCCCTGAGGTAATGTTTAATGTTGTTTCCATAGCCTTAGTCCATTTCCCTTCATTAACCTCATCATCTAACTCACATACCTGCATGTTTCCATAGAAACCAACCTCTGTCACATCTCCTCCCATCAGTGAGGGCAGGCCTCCAACAGTGTGTGGTTTCAGAGCAGATGGAGGCAGATATGTTATCTATAACAGCACTCGCTATTAATAACACAAGTTGTGGGTGTGAGATGCTCTCACTACAGTTCACTCAACATAACTGCTATATATAGTCTCACGAAGCTAAACAACACTGAAATCAGCCACGTGCAAAACAAATATTAGGTTTTCAACTGAATTAATGCCTGACATGAACATGGTGTCTATATTTAGCAGATTGAATCTCCATTTTGTTCAAATAGAAATGTCTGAGCTTCTTGTGATAGCTTCATCTTTATACAGTGAAGTTTAAAAGGAGTTCTAAATGTGCATTCATGTTTCTGTCAAGATTCCCTGGTGATATGTAAAGTCTAAAGAAACCATTGTGCTCTATGCCAGAACTTGTGGCAGTTCCAGTTAAATGAATAAAAGGTTGCCAAAGAAGCAGATGATTAGTCATGTTGTTGACAGTGGGGACTGATTGGTCCTCATTAGGAGTCTGTACTTTGCAGAAGCAGTGAAGCAAAAGCTATTTCCTTCTCCTTGTCAAGGGGGGACTGAGGAGACTACCTGAACTTAAGGACCCACCTCTGCTACCTCTCTTGTACATATTTGGCTCCTTTGTCTCTGCCATCCAGTTGTAATCCGTTGGCATGGAAACTGGCCTGAGGTCACCTGGAAAGAAGTCCAAGTAGCATGTCAGCTGAGGTGTGAGTGGAGGGAGAGCTAGGAGCTGAGGGGAGAGTGGAGGGAGAGCTAGGAGCTGAGGGGAGAGTGGAGGGAGAGTTAGGAGCTGAGGTGTGAGTGGAGGGAGAGTTCGGAGCTGAGGGGAGAGTGGAGGGAGAGCTAGGAGCTGAGGTGTGAGTGGAGGGAGAGTTCGGAGCTGAGGGAAGAGAAGGGGCTGTCTCACTGAGAGGGAGAGGAGATGGTGAGAGAGGAGTGGCTGTGTGTGGGTGGATGTCTGCCTGACAGAGGTTAAAGTGCAGGCAGGGCAGTAAGAGGTATAAAAGGAGTAGGTTATAGTATGGGAATCCAGTTGAAAAGAAGTGAGCTTTCGAGTGAAGGGGAAAGGCTTGTTGCACGTGTGTGAATGTGTGAGCATGAGAGAGACTGTGATGGGGCCTTATCATGGCACATGGTGCCTCCACAGACTTGGATGAGCAGAGCGTACCCTGCTTGGAGCCATTATGGACTTGGAAGCAATCCACCGTCACTTCCCTGGCAGGCTGTTAACATGAAAAACACTCCGTCTTGCAGAGCCAAAGGGATTTATCTCTGCACCACTACACACTGTACAATACACGGCAAACTGAGCCTCAACAGAGCCTCAACAGCCATTTCTGTCAGATGGACAGATAGAATACTGTACATTGTCAAGGGCTGGCAAAGACCTCCTTTCCTTGTCTCAGTGTTTGCAGACAGTGTGTCACTCACTAAAGATTCCAGAGTTGTCCCGTGCATTAATGTGAATGAGCTCATCGTGTAAAGTGCAGACAGAGGTGGCATGTAGAATAGTCAGGCTGATCTTAGGTGACGTCATCCTGACACTGGCCATCCTACTGCTGCAGTGCTGATGATGATGAAGGGGCAATGACAGGGGATGTCTGACTGTGGGGGTGGGCTGGGCTGTGAGAGGGAGGGGTTTCTGTGAAACATGAATACGCTGGGGTGCATAATAATAATGTCTACTATGCATAGCAATTGCCATGGGGCTTTACTGTACGTTCTCTACATGCCATTTACAGCTGGATACACTATGAGAATGAGCTTAAATGAAGGCAGGAGAGGAGAGCTATCCGCCTCGCCTGGAATTCCACCCTTCAATGCTTCTATAACATTACACTACTGCCCAGAGGGAAGAGGATGGTTGGTTGGTAGTGCTACCTATCTGGGCTGGGTGACTCACCATGGGTGGGTGTCCTGTCCCTCCGCCGGACCCCCGTGGAGCGACCCCTAGTCTCGTACTCCTGCCCAAGGGCCAGACAGTCCTCCTCCACCAACGTGAAGTACTTGCCCCCATCGTGGTCCAGGTAGAAGCTGGGAGACTCCGAGCCCTTCATACCCATCTTCTCCATGCTGTACTTGCTGATGTCATCGCAGGACATGATGCCTATCTCGTCTCTGTGATTGACAGGTAGGGCATGGAGAAAATCAGGCAGGTGCTACAGGACTAAACAGTACAGTAAACAGTAGCTGTATGTATGGGTTTGGTAGGCTCACCTGTGTCCATAGAGGCCAGAGACTGGGGACAGGATGAAGACGTCATGGCCACTGTCCAGCGTAGAGGACATCTCCAAGGTCCCCATGCTGTTGGGCGGGGTGTTGGAGTCACTGTTGGGACTGGTGGGGATGGGCTGTAGGGACAAGGGTGGAGTCATGTAGACAGCAGGACTGAGCAGGATAGCAGGATGCAGAAGTATTAAACAATTTCCTAAATGCAATCATTTCTAATTCATAGCATTTTATGTCATGCTTCATGAGTAAAATCCTATAGAATAGTATTCTCCATGTTTGAGTTACTGGAGGATTGTGGTGCAATGTTGTGAGCTTGTGTCCTAGTCAGACAGTTCTCGTAGCCCTTTACACACGTACCCATATAGAGGTTAAAAATGGCAGATTTGGGCACTGATAAACATCTAAATTGGAACGCAATGGCTGTACAGTAACATGCTATTCATGACGTCAGACCTCAGGCTCTGCACTTCACAGTGCTATGTGGGTTTTTTGTTGTTGTCACGGATTCTGCCGAGACTGCTCCTCCTCCTGGTTCGGGCAGGCTTCGGCGTTCGCCGTCCCCGGAGTACTAGCTGCCACCGCTCTATGTTTCTTGATGTGATTGCTTTCGTCTGGCTTTTACACCTGTGTCCAGTTGTGTGTTGATTACTTGTCCTATAAGTTCCTTGTTTTGCTTAGGCTAGATTGTGTGTTGTTTTTTGCCTGTCCGTTGTGCTGCGTGTTTTGTTCCTGTTTTCGTGTCATTTTGTTTTACGCACAGTTTGCGTATTTTCTCGCCTCTATTTATTGTTGAGGCCGTTCTCTGTATTTTGCCATTTGGATTACTTCAGTAAACTTTGTTGGACTAGCTTCGGTGTCCTGCGCCTGACTTCCACACACCATACACCTCAGCCCTTGACAGAACAACACACCACATCATGGAGTCAGCAGGAGCAGTGGCGGCACCCAAGTCGCTGGAGGATCGGATCAGCGATCAAGACACCATGATCCGGCAACTTGGGGCCGCCATGAACGAGGTGTCCAACACTCTGCGCCGGTTGGTGACTGGAGAGGTGCCCACGCCTTCTCACACCATCCCATCACCAACGGCCAGTCCTCCTCTCTCAGCACCGGAACCCAGTGGCATACGGCTCTCGCTCCCGAGGGCATAGGGCGGTTCTGCAGCCGGGTGTCAGGGGTTCCTCCTGCAGGTGGAACTCTACCTGGCTACCATACACCCAGCGCCCTCGGGGTACGAGAGCGTCTCCGCCCTCATCTCCTGTCTATCCGGCAAGGCGTTGGAGTGGGCCAACGCCGAATGGAGGGGAATAGACGCCGCTACCATCACCTACGCGGAGTTCTCCCGCCGCTTCAGGGCTGTCTTCGATCACCCACCTGAGGGGAAGGCGGCGGGGGAGCGTCTGTTCCACCTCCGACAGGGGAAGAGGAGCGCACAGGAGTTCGCCCTGGAGTTCCGGACTCTAGCGGCGGATGCGGGGTGGAATGAGAGGGCCCTCATCGACCATTACCAGTGTAGCCTACGAGAGGACGTTCGTCGTGAGCTGGCCTGCAGGGACACCAACCTTTCCTTCGACCAGTTGGTAGACATCTCCATCCGTCTAGACACCCTGCTGGCTACCCGCGGACGTCCCGAGTGGGGGTTGTCCATTCCACCCTCCAGCACCTCCGAGCCGGTTCCCATGGAGCTCGGGGGTGCTGGCGCTAGAGAGAGGAGGAGAGAGAACCCGAGGGGGGCCATCCCCTGCACCAACTGTGGCCGTGGAGGACACACCACGGCCAGGTGCTGGGGAGGGTCGCCTGGGAGAGGGGACAACAGGTCACGTACTGGGGAGTCATTTCAGGTGAGTAGGCGCCCCACTTACCCAGAGCTCTCTGTTGGTCACATGAGTATACCTGTGAGATTTCCACAGGTGGCACCTCATTCCCAGCATAAGGCCCTAGTAGATTCAGGCGCAGCTGGGAATTTTGTTGATCGAGCTTTTTGTTATAAGTTAGGAATTCCCCTTCGGCCAGTAGAAGCCCCATTTCCTGTTCACGCCCTAGACAGCCGGCCATTGGGGTCGGGGCTGATCAGAGAAGTCACAGCACCACTTAAGATGACAACGCAGGGGGGTCATGAGGAGACCATTCAGTTTTATCTGATTGACTCTCCTGCGTATCCCGTGGTGCTGGGGCTTCCCTGGTTAAGCACCCATGATCCTACCATTGCGTGGCAACAGAGGGCTCTTATGGAGTGGTCTGCCCAGTGTGTAGGGAGATGTCTAGGTGTTTCCTTAGGGGCGACCTCGGTAGAGAGTCCGAACCAAGTGCCCGCAATGCACATTCCCCCTGAGTATGAGGATCTAGCACTTGTGTTCAGTAAGGCGAGGGCTACACGGCTACCACCTCATAGACAGGGGGATTGTGCGATAGATCTCCAAACAGGAGCGGCACTTCCGCGGAGCCGTGTGTATCCACTGTCTCAAGAGGAGACAGCGGCTATGGAAACTTACATAGCCGAGTCATTGGCACAGGGATACATACGGTCCTCTACTTCCCCGGTTTCCTCGAGTTTCTTCTTTGTGAAGAAGAAGGACGGGGGTTTGCGCCCGTGTATTGACTATCGTAGTCTCAATCAGATCACGGTTAAGTACAGTTACCCTCTTCCGCTGATTGCGACTATGACAGAATCATTACGCGGAGCGCAGTTCTTCACAAAGTTGGATCTCAGGAGCGCGTACAATCTGGTACGCATTAGGGAGGGGGACGAATGGAAGACCGCATTTAGCACCACCTCGGGTCATTACGAGTATCTTGTCATGCCATACGGGTTAATGAATGCTCCTTCAGTTTTCCAATCCTTTGTTGACGAGATTTTCCGGGACATGCATGGGCAGGGTGTGGTAGTGTACATCGACGACATCCTAGTGTACTCTTCCACCCGAGCTGAGCATGTAGCCCTGGTGCGCCGAGTGTTGAGAAGACTGTTGGAGCATGACTTGTATGTCAAGGCAGAGAAATGCTTGTTCTTCCAGGAGTCCGTCTCGTTTTTGGGTTATCGGTTGTCCGCGTCTGGTGTGGAGATAGAGGTAGACCGTGTGTCGGCCGTGCGTAATTGGCAAACTCCAACTACTGTCAAAGAGGTGCAGCAGTTCTTGGGTTTTGCTAATTACTACCGGAGGTTTATCCGGGGCTTTGGACAGGTAGCAGCTCCCATTACGTCCTTGCTAAAGGGGGGTCCGGTTCGGTTGCAGTGGTCAGCTGAGGCGGACAGGGCATTTGCCAAACTGAAGAACCTGTTCACCTCGGCCCCGGTGCTGGCGCATCCGGATCCCTCTTTACCATTCCAAGTAGAGGTAGACGCGTCCGAGGCCGGCATTGGGGCAGTCCTGTCACAACGGTCCGGCACGCCACCTAAGCTCCGCCCCTGTGCGTTCTACTCCAAGAAGCTCAGCGCGGCGGAGCGAAACTATGACGTTGGGGACAGGGAGCTGTTAGCTGTAGTCCAGGCCCTAAAGGTGTGGAGGCATTGGCTTGAGGGGGCTCAACACCCTTTCCTCATTCTGACTGATCACCGTAACCTGGAGTACATCAGGGCAGCTAGGAGATTGAACCCTCGTCAGGCCGGTGGTAGCTGGCCCACTCCAAGAAGATGAGATAGGAGAGACCCCTCCGCCCCCTTTGGACATCGAGGGGGCCCCGGCGTACAGGGTCCGGACCATCTTGGACTCGAGGCGCCGGATGAGTGGTCTCCAGTATCTCGTGGAGTGGGAGGGGTACGGTCCGGAGGAACGGTGCTGGGTGCCCAGGAGGGACATCCTCGATCCATCCCTCCTGACTGAGTTCCACCGTGGGCATCCCACGCGCCCGGGTCCGCGTCCTCCTGGCCGTCCCCGAGGCCGGGGTCGGCGCACGGCTGGAGCCGCGCGTCAAGGGGGGGGTACTGTCACGGATTCTGCCGAGACTGCTCCTCCTCCTGGTTCGGGCAGGCTTCGGCGTTCGCCGTCCCCGGAGTACTAGCTGCCACCGCTCTATGTTTCTTGGTGTGATTGCTTTCGTCTGTCTTTTACACCTGTGTCCAGTTGTGTGTTGATTACTTGTCCTATAAGTTCCTTGTTTTGCTTAGGCTAGATTGTGTGTTGTTTTTTGCCTGTCCGTTGTGCTGCGTGTTTTGTTCCTGTTTTCGTGTCATTTTGTTTTACGCACAGTTTGCGTATTTTCTCGCCTCTATTTATTGTTGAGGCCGTTCTCTGTATTTTGCCATTTGGATTACTTCAGTAAACTTTGTTGGACTAGCTTCGGTGTCCTGCGCCTGACTTCCACACACCATACACCTCAGCCCTTGACAGTTGTGTGAGTGAGGAAAATGCTGTAAATTTAAGAGGACTCTACATATTTTGAAAGATTATACGTTGAAGATTATAATAAATACCGCTTTGATGTCATACAAGCAAGCCAAACACCTGCGAGTCCAAATGTGCACTTCACATTTCCATAACATAAAACTCATCTCATATACAGTGTCAACGTTTATGATCACCATGTTTGATCTACAGATACAAGATGACATGGTGTCATACCCTGAACAGAATGAGCCTGTTGGTCTATTGTGACGTCACACGCACCTGAATGCACTTATGACTGAAAGCACTTTATAGTTGAAGACTCTTCTTCAAGTCATATAAGTGCATTGAAATTACTTAGGAAGTGCACACTTTAGCGAGGTGTGTGGCCTCTTGGAGACACCAGTTAGTCCTCTCACGCAAACCCTTGTACCTTTTCTGTTTTATGTTGCACCTATCCCACATTTTCCAGGAATATTCTTATCATGTTACTCAATGTATCAAGAGTATTTTCAGTTTTCTTTATCAACAAATGCGGCGAAAAGTGCAGTAAATGTAAAATGCACATAAAATCAACAGTATAATGTTTAGATTCAGTCTAATAATTTTCCCATAATCTCCAAACATTTCAATTTAGCCCTATCCATATAGGCCAATTCACACGAGAGTAAAGGGTTAACACAGTGGTACATAATAAACACAATGGTAGTGAAAAGGATAGGACGCTTTGTTGAATGAAGGCCATGAGACAGGGAGAGGGATGTGAAGTGGCACACATTAGCAACAGCGATCTCGTCCATAGCAACCGAGAAATTCTTGAGAGGTTTGTTGGCAACTATAGAGGGGATAGCAACAGGACCCCTAGCAACAAGGGATTCTGTGATCATGACTATACATCATTAATGTCAAGATGTGTCAAATATGGTGAGGATGAGCCATCTCTCCCCAGGAGATACACTAGGAAGTCTGTGCTGACTTAACCCTGTGACCAATAACATCTGATTGTAAGGTAATTTTCACAGGACCTTTACCAATGTAAAACAAAAAATGAAATGTGCATATATTTTCCTTTTTCTCTTTCGAGTCTACTTCTACGATGAATTATCATTACTCTGTCATTTTCCTTGACCTCATATCAAAGACATCAGAGCCATATTCCTTCCTGATAACAGCGACCTTTGAGTATGACCATGGAGGCTTCAGAACATCTAGAGCTCACTCCTTCTCCAGGACTTGTGTAATTAATAATAAATAGCACTCAAAATAAAAATCCATTTTATGTACTTCTTCATTATTAATACATCACCACAAGAAAAGTTAAAATGATGGCGTAAATGTGTTGGCTCAGTGCTGTCAAAAGAAAATACCCGAACTGTTAGATTGTTCATGTCTCTCAGACCAAAGCAGGATAAAAAAAAAAAAGAAGCAGTGGGTTATGAATAGGTTAGGAAACAAAAATATATATTCTGGTCTTCTGTAGCTCAGCTCGTAGAGCATGGCGCCAGGATAGTGGGTTTGATTCCCGGGACCACCTATATGTAAAATGTATGCACGCATTATTGTAAGTCGCTTTGGATAAAAGCGTCTGCTAAATGGCATTTACAGTGCATTCGGTAAGTATTCAGACCCCTTCCATTTTTCCACATTTTGTTACGTTACAACCTTATTCTAAAATTGATCAACAAAAACAATTCTCATCAATCTACACACAATACCCCATAATGACAAAGCAAAAACATGTTTTTAGATTTTTGTGCAAATTTATTACAAATTAAAAACAGATACCTTATTTACATAAGTATTCAGACCCTTTGCTATGAGACTCGAAAATTGAGCTCAGGTGCATCCTGTTTCCATTGATCATCCTTGAGATGTTTCTACAACTTGATTGGAGTACACCCGTGGTAAATTCAATTGATTGGACATGATTTGGAAAGGCACACACCTGTCTATATAAGGTCCCACAGTTGACAGTGCATGTCAGAGCAAAAACCAAGCCATGAGGTTGAAGGAATTGTCCATAGAGCTCCGAGACAGGATTGTGTCGAGGCACAGATCTGGGGAAGGGTACCAAAAAATGTCTGCAGCATTGAAGGTCCCCAAGAACACAGTGGCCTCCATCATTCTTAAATGGAAGAAGTTTGAAACCACTAAGACTCTTCCTAGAGCTGGCCACCCGGCCAAACTGAGCAATCAGGGGGAGAAGGGACTTGGTCGGGGAGGTGACCAAGAACCTGATGGTCACTATGACAGAGCTCCTGAGTTCCTCTGTGGAGATGGGAGAACCTTCCAGAAGGACAGCCATCTCTGCAGCACTCCACCAATCAGGCCTTTATGGTAGAGTGGCCAGACGGAAGCCACTCCTCAGTAAAAGGTACATGACAGCCCACTTGGAGTTTGCCAAAAGGCACCTAAAGGACTCAGACCATGAAACAAGATTCTCTGGTCTGATGAAACCAAGATTGAACTCTTTGGCCTGAATGCCAAGCGTCACGTCTGGAGGAAACCTGGCACCATCCCTACGGTGATGCATGGTGGTGGCAGCATCATGCTGTGGGGATATTTTTCAGTGGCAGGGAGACTAGTTAGGATCGAGAGAACGATGAACGGAGCAAAGTACAGAGAGATCCTTGATGAAAACCTGCACCAGAGCGCTCAGGACCTCAGACTGGGGTGAAGGTTCACCTTCCAACAGGACAACGACCCTAAGCACAAAGCCAAGACAATGCTGCAGTGGCTTTAGGACAAGTCTCTGAATGTCCTTGAGTGGCCCAGCCTTGAACCCGATCAAACATCTCTGTAGAGACCTAAAAATAGCTGTGCAGCGACGCTGCCCATCCAACCTGACAGAGGTTGAGAGGATCTGCAGAGAAGAATGGGAGAACCTCCCCAAATACAGGTGTGCCAAGCTTGTAGCGTCATACCCAAGAAGCCTCAAGGCTGTAATCGCTGCCAAAGGTGCTTCATTAAAGTACTGAGTAAAGGGTCTGAATACTTATGTAAATGTAATTTTAAAAAATATATATATTATGGGGTATTATGTGTAGATTGATGAGGGGGAAAAAAACAATTTAATCAATTTTAGAGTACGGCTGTAACGTAACAAAATGTGGAAAAAGTCAAGGGGTCCGAATACTTTCCGAATGCACTGTATTATTATAAAAATACACTCCTGTACAAAATAATGATTATAGCTGGTAGTGCTCCCACTATGAGCAACCACATTAACCTCTGCATTAACCTCTGTCCTAGGTTCTGTCTGTGTCCTATCAGTCCGTGGGCAGCTGACTGAGAGTACTACTGTATGACACTGGATGAACAGATGGCTAGGTTCACTCTTCATTGACTCTTATTCACAATGGGAAACACTGAGTGCTTGATGGGGGTTCACTGAAGACTCATTTCAAATTCATTTCACATTATCTTTGTCCTCTACTACCTGGATTTTCCATATGCTTCTCTGTCATCATCTATTTCGTAAAGAGTTAATTTAATAATAGAACAGGCCTACCCTTTCTCCAAGCCGTGTTGAGCTCCGGTGGTCTGACTCTTTTTGCCTGAAACATCCATCATAAAGTCCTGGGAGACAAAGTCACTAACAGTGTTCGTACCATATGTCAACGGCTCCTACAGTCATACGGCACGCTGTCATTTAACTCTGAGGTGCTTCATTAACCAAACACTGGGTGAATTCTACTGTTTGTGACTGATTGGTAACCTTTGTGTGTATTTGTTTGTTTAACCTGTAAGACTGCCAACAATAACCTCCCTGGAGGGCAATCCAATACTCAATTTTTTTCTAATTTATTCAGCCACAATAATGGAGCATAGCTCAAGCAGAACCCTGTTCACTTCAGACTGAAAAACATGCCACCGTGCCAAATAATCAATACATAATTATTTCCCTGACATGACTACAGTGCATATGCACACCCTCATCACAGTCCTATATAGGAGCAACCATTCTGGCTTCACATGTTGAGCTATGATGATGATGATGTGCTGATTATCTGAACATCACTGCAGATGCCAAAGACACGTAACCACAGAAACGGTCCTGGGCATCATCAAGGCAAACCCATGCAGCATGAAAATGAGTAAGCCTAGTGCAGAGCTAAAAATAGCTCTCACGCAGTCCAGGGCTCCCAAAGAAAAACCATCCAGGCAGTAATGATGTAAACCCCCAACCCCCTCTACCCTCATCCTCCCCAGCTAGCGTTCTGTCTTTGTTCCTCCTCCTCAGGCAGCCCCTGTTTCCCCCAGCCAGTCCCCCATACTGTACTGTCTGTACTACATCCACACTGAGCAACACAATGGATTCACCATCTCCGTCACTGACGCTCCACCAATGATGTATATAAAACCTGGATTGCTGATGCTATGTATTGGCCGATGAAAGGCTTTGAAGCCACCGGTCAGCCATATTGGCTTTCCCCAGAAGAAGCAGTCCTCTATAGGAATGAATGGAATTCTACAGTATTTCAATTAAATGTTTTGAGTACAAAATTACATGTATTTAGTATTTTTTGTTGTTGTAGAGGGGACAGTAACATTAGAACTTTCAAAAAATTATACTTTAAGGAAAATGTTTTTATACATTTAAAATGTGTATATTTAGCTCACATTAAAATGATGCATTAAGGTGTCTGTAATAGAATAAACCTGGCAAAAACAAGTGTAAATATTAATGAATGCATTTCTATAGCTTCCGATTTTTTAGTTTTTCAACAGTGCCCAGATTGAGGTGCGGTGGCTTCAGAACAGCGCCCCCTGTCAGTCATCTAGTGTATATATAAATCATTACACTCCACACAATCCATTAGAACTCAATTAAAGGGTGACCAGGTATGAGGTACAAGTTAAGTGCTTACTCACAGATAATAAACCTTTAATTCATCATGTATCATAATCTAATTTATTAACATTGTGTCACTCATAAGGAGCTACTAGGCCAGTTGGTCATTATCAACAATGAGCAGATGAATTGGTGAAATAAGTGCTATTCTTATCTACCAGAAGGAATCCTAAACAGATATCCAAACAAAACGTATCACATCATAACATAATTACCTGGAGTGCAAGGGGTTTCCATCGTACATTCTTGAGCAGGGCAGGGGCAGATGTGAGAGTGTTCTGAGGTCTCTTCTTCAGGGTGAGGATGACTCCATTGGGGTCTTCTCTGAGGGCATTCACCAGGTTCCTCAGCTGCCAGCCCACCTGCACAGATACGCCACAGTGGAGAGAGACAATACAACACTCTCAGTAAGGCTGAAGAAATACTTAACCAATCATGACAATAGAGCTAGTAAATTACTGTAGCTACTATGGTTCTGAACATCTCCTCAACCAACTATGAAACACCGGAGATAATGACGTTGAAAACAACTGCACTACCATTCCAATACACTACAGCCCATTCCCACAAATTACAGCGCTTGGATAAGAATGGCGTTTGGCACAAAAACAGTTAACTAAACAGCATGTGCTGGGAAATATTGCATACAATATTGCATACTTATTTATTTTCTTGACTGAACATAACCATTTTCAAAATTCTGTCCCATCTGTTGTACAACGTTATACAACGTTTAACAGAAGTTAAAACAGACTGATAGTGTTGCACCTCGTGTCGACCTATAATGCATCGCAAAGCATCAGCACCATGCCCAACTGGGCTCTGACCCGCAACAGACCGTGTGCAGCTGTGCTACAGTGAGCTTGGTTCTGCTGATGGCGGTGTGCTCCCAGGCAGGCTCCAGTAGAGGCAGGGGAGCAGAGAAAGCAGGTCACCTCCCTCTCCCTTCCTCCCTCTCTACGCCACGCTGAGCTGAGCACCTCTCTCGCTCTCTCTACCTCTGTGCTCTGTAGAGTGCCAATGTTAATAATGCAACTTATCTGTAAACAGGTTACATTATTCAACTAAGGGACTGGCATGGCGACATAGTCAAACTATAAAAAGACCAACACACACACATTACTGTTTGGCCAAGACACTGTCTCTGTGTTCACAACAGCTTCTATGCCGACTGGCAACGGCCTATTTCACTCCCACAAAGACTACAAACATCGCCTGTCTTAAAAAGACACAGACAGACACAATTACTGTTCATACAGTATAATACACACACATACTGTATATACATGCAGATGCATCATTTGATTCCTTGGAAGTTGTGGGAACGTATGTTTTAGGTTTCACATTGGTTGTGGTGAACAAAGCCATATGTTTTTCTTATCGGTAAAACTGAACGTTTGGTGAAAATCTAACCTGTTCTGGGAACATTTATTTTTAGGTTGCAGTGAGGTTCTTCGAAAGTTTTACTCTGGTTCCTTGAAAGTTTTCCAGGGAGGTTTTATTACCACTCTGAGAATGGAAATTGTAGGTTATTTTGAGTTTTTTTTAAATAACTTCCTTAAAACGTTAACTGAATGTTTTAGTAAGACTTGTAATAACACTGCTAGCTTATTTTGGGTTTACTTTTTTGAACTCCAAGCACAGGTAGGACACGTGGTCCTCTGTAGCTCAGCTGGTAGAGCACGGCGCTTGTAACGCCAAGGTAGTGGGTTCGATCCCCGGGACCACCCATACACAAAAAATGTATGCACGCACGACTGTAAGTCGCTTTGGATAAAAGCGTCTGCTAAATGGCATATTATTTTATTATTATTACATGGAAATTAATTTACTTAAGCATTAATTTTTTTATGTGACACGGCATCAGTGAGATTCAAACAAAACCAATGCGTGTGCAACTATTAGGCAAAACAGACAGGGTTGGCTCAGATTGTTGGCAACATGTAAACTATATTTAATCTCCAATGTTTACTGAAAACATAAATACATTTGCACAATGAGCACTTGTTGTCTATCAATTACATCGTTCCAGTTGTTGGTTAACTAGCTAGTGAGTTTAAGCCATATTAGCATAGACATGACATTAGTCAAAACACCTCAAAACAAGACATGGTATCAATAACAACATATAACGAGCTGAAATGAGCCACCTACGATTCCCCACATGGCAGCTTCTAGTCATTGTTACAAGTTATCTGACTGTTCAGAATCATAACACCACACGGCCTTCTGCCTCATGGATGCGTGCCCATAATTTTTGTGACGTTGTCAGCCAACCCATCTATAATATTCTGTTCTCTATTCATGGAATTAGTCCACAGCGCCACCAGGATGGGATAGCATGCCATGTTTTTTCACGCATTCAAATCTGTTCATTTGAGTCTATTCAAACAGACCCCATTTCAATGGAAACAAGCACTTATTAAGATCAGGTGTGGCCAATTAGTGGGCCTGTTCAACACACCTGAACACACTTAACAAGATAGAGGATAGAGATAGTTTTGTTTGATGCTGAGAACAGAATATATATTTATATGTTCTTAGAATGTTCTCTGAACATTACTAAAGTTTTCTTGTGGTCTTTATGGAAAGTTTTCTTCACGTTCTGAGAATGTATATGCTTTTAAATAACATTCTTAGAATGTTCTCTGAACGTTACTAAAGTTTTCTTGTGTTATGTATGGGTAATTTTCTTAACGTTCTCTGAACAATTTGAGAACATGACATTAAATAGAACCATGAGGAAACCTGATGGAAACGTTATGTGGAAGTACTGAAATTCCCACAGAAGAACATTGTTTCTTAACCTCTTCATCCCGAGGTTCCCCATATCCGGGGTACTCCTCCCGCAATCTCAAACAATGACGTAGTACGGTTTTTAAACATGTATGAATACCTGAATGTTGTACACTACTGGAACGAAAAGCATCTCAACTGTGAATCTATCTAAACTGTTGTTGCCCAAATGAAATAATATTCAGACTCCAAGCAAATATATAAGCATATAGCAAAACCAGTACTGAATTTTGAAACCGTGCATGCCCATATATTCGTAGACAGATAACTTATTTTTCTTAACCCGGTTGTTGAAATATCCATGTGCGCACCTCATTGTATCACATTAGTTGACTTGTTGCATTACGCACGGTTACGCAGAGCGCACAACAGCACTTCAATTTCAGGAGGGAAAACGTAAAGTTTATACAAATATGGCAGGCTCTAGTAAGAAATATACAGTTACAGAAGCGTTAGCAATTGTAACAGATGAAAGTTGGACTCCATGTATCCTATTGACTCTGAATCGGACGATGAGGACCTGCTTAGACCGGACGAACCAGACCCCAATGACGAGAAGGTTATCGTGTCCAGGGCCCTACTCAAGCATCAGAAGAGTATGTAATCCCATTGTTATTTATTACTTCTAATACTACTATTACTAATTTATTGTATGAGTACAAAACATACATTCTAAAATATCTATTTGAGTAACTGAAGCTCAACGTAAGTTACCGCTAGCTTAGCTTATTGGCATCAAACTTCACATAAGTACTCATCAGATATTGGGCTATGGTCCCATAGTGTTTAGGGCCTGCAGCGGCATAAGTCCAATAAAGCATGCCCTATAAAACCTGAAGTTACTCTCAGGCAGAATCAAAACCTCCCAATTTATGCTGTGTTCCAGCTTCATGTACTCTGACACAGTAATACCCATATTAATTATTTCACTTCAAGATACGTGTTACCTTTCTTTTGCTACCAAGATTATGTTTATAGCCCTTGTCGTTTTGGAGATATACTCTATTCATGCATTTTCGAGGCAGGCACTTAAGCCAGGTGCCTAGTGATGAAGAGGTTAACGTTATTGGAACAATTTGAGAACATTCCCAATGTCAAACCAGTTGGAGAACATTCCTAGAACATTACCAACATTTTAATTAAATGTTACCATGTTTGAACTTTTAGGAAATGTTCTGTTAAAGTAATGAAACACCAGTTTAAGTTCCTTAAATGTGCTGAGAATATTCCAAAGCCAAGCAACAATACTGCACCATTCCCAGAATTTGCGGGAAGATTATATGCAAAATAACCATACGACAACCATGCTCTCATCAAGCTCTAAGAAACATATGGTTCTCAGAAATGTATGTGCTAGCTGGGACAAAGCGTGTAATAAGCTAGCTAGCCTCTGGCCCTCAGGACAGTTTTGCCAGTTGTAAGCTTCTATTGGACGTTTGCCAAGGCATGTGACAGTTCAGTTTAATATATGAAAGTTAATTGGCACATCCACTGTCTCGTGTTTCTGGACACAGCGTCATGTCATAAAATGTGTAATCTATGTGATTGGTTGATCATACAGTAAAATAGTTTTATTTTATACACAGTAAAACAGGCTACCGCAACCACAACTTATTAATTAAATACAGGTGTGCCAAGCTTGTAGCGTCATACCTAAAAAGACTTGAGGCTGTAATCGCTGCCAAAGGTGATTCAACAAAGTACTGAGTAAAGGGTCTGAACACTTATGTAAATGTTATATTTCCTGTTTTTTTTTTTATACATTTGCAAAAATGTATAAAAACCTGTTTTTGCTTTGCCATTTTGGGTATTGTGTGTAGATTGATGAGGGGAAAAAACTATTTAATCAATTTTAGAATAAGTCTGCAATGTAACAAAATGTGGAACAAGTCAAGGGGTCTGAATACTTTCCAAATGCACTGTGTATGGACACACAGGCTTTGTTTAATGCCAGTGTCTGGTCATTGGTAAAAATAGAAAATAATAAAGGGCCAAGTGAGCTGCCCTGCGGTATACTAACTTTATATGTTTAACATTAGAGAAGCATCCAATAAAGAAAACACTCAGTGTTCTATTAGATAGATACTGTAGCTCTGAATCCACGATATGGCAGAGATTGAAAAATATATGAAAGTTAATTGGCACATCAACTGTCTCGTGTTTCTGGACACATCGTCATGTCATAAAATGTGTAATCTATGTGATTGGTTGATCATACAGTAAAATAGTTTTCTTTTATACACAGTAAAACAGGCTACCGCAACCACAACTTATTAGTGTGTCTTTGTTTGGGTAGGAGGAACTACTGTGCCCTTTATCTTTTAAAAATATATCACAAATGTGCAATTAGGCCTACTAGAAATGGTCCCCTACCGAGCTAGGACACTGCCCCTGCTCAGTATGACAACATCACAAGTGGCCTGATTAATGCATCCACCATGGTGACACCAACCAAAACAAATTACAGAAAATGCCACAGTCCTCCCAATCCATTGTTTATAGTAGTTGATAGTTTATTACCTCCTGCCTGCTGTTTTCATGCTGAATCTCCATTTCCACTAGAATC